CCTTGAACAGCACGTCCATGGAACTCCCCGTATCCACGAGCATCCTCTTTACCATGCACCCTGCCACTATTCCTTGAATCTCCAGCGCCTCTAAGGAGGGGACCCCATAAGCTTCATCAGGCACTTGATTGAAACTAATGCACACCCCTTCGTGTCGATCAACCGATGCTGCTCTTAGGCGCCTGCTAGCTTCCAATTTCTCTCTCAAATCTCCGGTGCCTGTAATCGCGTCCACCGTAAGCCTCACCTTCTCAGGCGCCTTTCCTGATCTAGCTCGAATGGGGCGGGGGGAGATCCTCCTTGGGCCCCGCTCGGGCCACATATGCCCTGTGCACCCTCTCTTCTGGTTTTTTGACGAACTCATTAAGCATGCCCCTGTCCACCAATCCTTGCAATTCAGTCTTCAACTGGTAACAATCAACTGTATTGTGCCCCCGTTCCCGATGGAAGTCACAAAATCTATCCAGATTTTGTGGGTTGGGTTGCCCCCTCATAGGCCCTGGCCATCTCACGTGGTACCCCTTATCTTTACGTATTGCAACACGTTCTTCGGCGAGTCGTTAAGCTCCGTGAATTGATCACTTTAGGCGCCAGGGCGCCCCGGATCACTCCTCCGCACCGGTGTGACCGATGTTCCTCCGTAGAAAGGCCTAGACTCGGGCACCTGCCTTCGTCCATCTCCTTCCTCTCCCCTGGGTCGGCGCCTGTCGGCCCGCCTTGACGCTAGCGCCTCCTCCAACACTATAACTTTCTGCACCCTTCGATCCAAATCTTCCGTAGACACTACATCCCTTTTAGCTAGCGCCCGACAAAGTTCCTCACTGGTGGTGCACTCCTCGAGGAGGACTCCAAGCACCGGGGCTGCACATCTCTCACCGCCATGGCCACCGGGATCCATCGCTCATAGAACTCCCTCAAGGTTTCTCCCTCCTTCTGCTTGATCTTAAATAGTGAGCCCACGGTCAGTGTGCGCCTCTTCTACTTGCGAACTTAGCCAGGAACATCGCCGCAAACTGCTCAAAGCATTCTATGCGCCCTTCCTCGATCTGATGGTACCAATCTAATACGACGCCTGAGAATGTTGAGGGGAACACCTTGCATAAAGTTGCGTCCGAACTGTTGTACAGCTGCATTTTGGTGAAGTAGCTGTTGAGGTGGTCGTCCGGGTCCGCCGTACCATCATAGGTGGGAAGCGGCGGAATGTTGGTACTAGCGGGCTCCATGAGCACGCTCCGGGCCAAAGGTTGCCTTACCACAAACTGTCGATGCGGGCGCCCCGGCATCCACACATTCCTCTCTCCCTCCGAATCTCCGTAATCAGCCAGGCGCCTCATGCTGGCAAGGCGCCTCAGCGAGCTGGGCTCCCCTTCAGCTTCCATCGTACGCTCCCTCTTCCTTGCTCCGGGACTTGGGGCGCCCTCCTTCAACATTTCCACCTCTCTCCTTAACATCCCAATGGCCTCGTCTTGATCGGCTATGATCTTGAACAGTTCCTTCTTAGTCACCGATGCCCCATCTGAATCCGGGCGCGGGTCTTCACTTCCCTCATCCTCCCCCATGCTGGGCGTTCCTCCTCCTGCTTCTTGAGACGCCTCCCCCATGTGTTGCTCCTCCATCTCGCTTCCACCCTCCATTGAAACTAGGCGCTTTCTTGTTGTGTTCTTCCCCTTCCTGGCGCGCCAATTGTTGAAGCCCACTCGATCGGCCTACTTTTCTTCCGTACCAGCTGACTCCCTCCCGATGAAGCCTGCACTCACAGAGGTGGGCCTTGTGGCCCGTTAGTCCTCCAACGCTCAAGTCAGTATCTTTCTAGAGAGAGAAGTGCTTGCAATGCACAATTTTTTAGTGAGAGAAGCCAATTTGAGTAAATGCTTACCCACCTCCCTATTTATAGCCAATTACTGCTTACCTGGACTTTCTCGTACGGATTTCCACGTCAGCCCTACATTTAATGCGGGTGACCCAGGGCGCTTCCTCCGAAGAAGATTCCAGGCGCCCTCTCCGAGGGTCCACAATTCCCACGTGCATACCCGGGCACCTACGGTGCGAGTACTCCTAGGCGCCTAGTGCATGCAACTCCCAACTTGCTCCTGATCTAAGCCCGTGGGCGCCTATCATGGCCTACACCATCTTGAATGGGCTCACCTTTAATGGGCCTCATACATACATCGGGGCCTCCTTATTCGTATACCCCCAACAGATATTATTTTTCAAACGCTGAAGTAATAATTATTATTTATCGATTAATGTAACTTTTTATCTTAATAGATTTATTAAGAAAAATTTAGGTTAAATACACTTGTATATCCAAAAGTATCACGTTTGTGCCAATAATATCCAAAAAACCGGAAATACCACTTATATCCATGTTTTAAACTTCTTCTTTGCCAAATCTATCCATCTCCGTTAAATGTTTTGACGGCGTTAATAACTCCGTGAGGATAGCTGACGGCAAGCTGATTGTACGCCAACTATGCAGACACGTAAGCGCCACCTACGCCAAAAGTGCCACGTAAGAATGAATTAAAAAATTAATTTTAATAAAAAAAACCCTAATCCCACATATTAGCACTGACGAGTGACGACGACCAAAATCTCCACCTGCCGAAATCCCTTTCTCCTTTCGTTTTTAGGGTTAGCACCCTGGCGGCGACAAAAACTCCACCTGCCGACTGAGCCTCCACCAGGCGATTTAAGATCCTCCCGCCGACACTATATACTCGTGCGATTCTGGCGGATTTGGCGAGTGGCGATTGAGATTGAAGATCGGGTCGCCGAGTGAAGATTTCAGATTCATGGTTTTTGGCGATTTGGCGACTCCTGCGATTCTGGCGGATTTGGCGAGTGGTGATTGGCGACCCAGATCTTCGACAAAAGCGATTTGCAGACCACAATCAACACCCACAACTACAAATTCAAAAGGGAGACTCACCTGTGGCTCAACTCGAGGTTGCTCAGAAATCCCCCTTTTCGGTGCGATTAGGGTTTCCACGAATTCTATCCTCGGGTTTCCTGGGTTCTTCGCTCGTCGCGCATAGGGGGTTTCCACCGGAAAGGAAGGATAGGGAGAGGCAGCCTAAGCTCGTCGCGTTTCCAGGGTTCGTCGCGATTAGGGTTTCTTCGAAGGTGGGCGAGAAGGTAGATCGACGAAGGATGAAGGAGAATCAGGGGATACGACGGAATAGGGGGGTCGCTGCCTTCGTCATTCTCCATCGCATTCGTCTTCCTCCGTCGCCGTCGTCCTCCTTCGTCGCCTTCGTCAAAATCCCTCTCCTTCGTCGCCTTCGTCGAACTGGACAGCCGAAGGGTTAGGGGTTGGTGAGATGGAAAATTTTAGATGGGTAGAAAGTTGGGTCGAGTCGAGGATGAGGTCAGATGGAGTCAACTGAATTTTTTTTTATAAATATATTAATTAGCTATACACGTGGATAAGACTAACTCCAACCCCAAAAGCTATATTTAGCCTCCCAAGCTCTCAAATGTGCATATTTGCCTCCCCAAAACACCTTTTTGCTCCAACCCTAAAAGCTTCCAAATTTAGCTTCCCACATCTTTTTTGATTTAATTTCCATAATCCATACTTATTTACAATATCATTCTTGTAATTCACTTGATTGATGCCAACCGCTCCATCTTCAGATATTGATATCCAAGATTTGCACAAGTTTACATCTTCATGAGCTTTCCAATTGGGGCCTCTCTTACTTGACATGTTTTTGTTTTGAGAGATGATAAATAGAAGAGAATGAGAGAGATTGATTTGAGAATGAGTGCAGAAAAACCATGAGAAGTTACTCATTATATAGAAAAAAAATATGACCGTTTTATGGCCGTTAAAATGTGTCTGTTGCAATGTGACCGTTTTATTGTCACTATATTACTTCTTTCAAACTAAAACGCAAACACACCCACACAAACTAAAACGCAAACACACCCACACAAACTAAAACGCAAACACACCCACACAAATAAATACAAACAAAAAATGAAAAAAAAAAGCAGCAGCAGGGACCCCGCGTGCAGGCGAGGCCCAACCGCGGGAGGCGCGCCTGGGCCGCACGCGTGCGGCCCAGGCGCGCCTCCCGCGGTTGGGCCTCGCCTGCACGCGGGGTCCCCTTTCCAGCTGCTATATTTGCCCCCTTTCCCCCTTCCAGCTGCTACCTATCCACCCCAACACCCCCAATCTCCAAATTTGGAAGCTAAGTTATTGATGGGTTGGAGATGAAAAAAGGCAAAATATAGCCTTTCTCCAAATTTGCAAGCAAGGGTTGGAGTTAGTCTAAGTAAAGAGGAATTGGGAAATAGGCGTTCGCCACGTAAGCACCACCGTTAGTCCAGTCAGACTTAACGTTAACACCGTCAAAGAATGTGACGAAGTTGGATATAAGTGGTATTTCCGGTTTTTTGGATATTATTGGCACAAACGTGATACTTTTGGATATACAAGTGTATTTAACCTTTAAAACTACAATTGATTTGTGGAACAAGGCCTTCTTACTTGAGGGCCGACCCGACCTGTCTAGCCTGTACGGGTAAGGATCTTGCCGGCTACCAAGCCAACCCAATTTTTTATTGGTGTAATCACCTCACCCTATTTAGCCAACTTATTTCAATATCAAAGTAAAATTTATAAAATTCAAATCATATCTAAAAAATTAAAATAACCCAAATTAATTCCCAAATTTACAAAAAATTCCAAAATAATACACGATACAATTTGCATCATTTTATTAATTTTAATTCTTGAAATCTACACTGCTCCATTTATCAAATAAATAAAAATAATATTAATTGAAATTGTCAACTTACTAACCAAAACACATCATATACAAAATAAAGCAAAGAATTACCTGCCAAAAGTAGGGGTTAAGCTAGCAGACTACAGAGGAATTAATTCAGATACGAAACCTTTTATCAAATTCCCGCTTTGGCGGGAAATAAGACATACCATTATTCAAACCCACACACAGAGGGAGGAAGGAACCGGAAACAAGCAGAGTTCCATTTTTACAACAACAAAAAAAAAAAAAAAAAAATTCCCCCGCGCAAAAAAATCACCGGGAACGACGATTCTCCCGATCAGAACACTGCCAGAAAGTCGCCGACGACCTCATCGAGAAGCCCATTCAGGACCTGCTTCTCGACCTCTCGTATCACTTCCTCCTCCTCAGGAAACTTCAAATCGGCCTTCTCCCAGCCGATCTCCCACATTGAATTCACGTCCGGCTCGCTGTTACAAACATCGGCTTCGAGCATCTTCGGCAGGTAATCTTCGATTCCCGACTCCGCGTTTCCGTTCCTTCCGTACAATCTCAGCTTCTCGAGATCATTGCACAGTTGCTTGATTAGGTCATCTAGGTTTTCCGTAGAATTGAGGCGTAGCTTCGTGTAGCGATGAGTTCTGAGCAACTCTTGTCTTTTCCCCTTCCGTTTCATTACTTCGTACCCGCAATCTGCCGTCAGTCTGCTCTCTTGATTGTGGAAATCGGGGGCGTCGCAGACGACGTTGAGGATTTCTATGGGAATGTTGAGCAGGAAGAGTGCCTCGGCTGTATCGAGGAATCGCTGGTTCTTTACCAGAATTTGCTTCAGGAGATTCTCAGCTTCTGTCAGTGGCTTTGCTAATGGCTTCTGTTGGCTTACATTTTGGTCCTCCTGGTTCAGTTGTTGGTCTTCTGCAATCAGTTCATCAAAGTCAGATGGTTTATTGCAATTCAGACAGAGGGCAGTTACCATTGATTCGGATTTTTTACCGACCTTTTACTGAATCTGAGACATTTGGTTGAGACTCATGTTCATCACTTCCGGCGTTGTTGGTGTCTTGATCCTCTTGCTTACCTATCTCCGTTGAGACTATGTTCTCAGAATAAATTGGGAATTCTGGACCCTTGAGGCTTGCACCATCGTCACTTAGATCATCATGTAATTGGAAATACAAAGCTTCCCCAGTCTCAGTTTGTGGCTCTTTTGATGTGTATGCTTGCTGAATGCTTGCTGCAGGCTTTTCGGATTTGACTAGTTGAACTTTTGGATCTTTGAGCTTCCCTGATCTCTCCTTATTTGTTTCCTTTGCTGCACTCAGCTTTTTATCGACTCCCCTTTGCTTCTTTTGTGGGAATGTGGAGGAAGCCTGGCGTTTCACCAGGGGCGGGTTGGGTAACTTTTGTGAAGCTCCTCTCCTCTTGTCTGCAAGTTCATCAATCCTTCGGGCAGTTTCCACTTTCTGTGCTCTTGTGGGTGGATTTTTCAGCTCTGTGGCTGGCAGGCGAGCAATTTCTCTTCCTTGCCAGATCCTGAAAAGGGAGTTCTATTCTTTGTCTTCGTAGTGTTATCTGATTTCTGATCTTTGGAAGGAAAATTTTCATTCAAGTTTCTGCTTCTCGAATCCTGCTTGTGGACAATTGCAGTAGCTGAACTTCTGGCTGGTTCAAGATCTCCATTGGATGTATTATGTGCAACCCTTTTGGTTGTTGTATCTTCCGATTGTATGTGGCTTTTGCCATGAGGAGCTGCTTGGATTCGCTGCGCTGTTTCTTGCCTCTTCATTTGAGTCTTCTGTAGCTTCATGTCTTTTGAATCCAAATTCTTGGCCAAACTAGGCTGGTGCTGGTTTTGGCTCTCTTTCACTCGATTGCTTGAGTTCTGCTTGTTTGCACCTCTCTTCGCCACCTTGAACTCTGTTTGAGCCGGCCAAGTAATAGCAGATTCAGAGCCTCTCACTGACTGTGGCACCATTACCAACTGGTATTGGTCATGTCGTGGGATCATGTCCTCAAAATCATCGACTTTCTGTCCCCGCTTGACCTCTGCATTGTTATATTTCCCTTCTTTCTCTCCAATCTCCTTTACACTTCTGTTGAGTTGGCTTGATATATAGTTGCTTTGCTGCTTGTCTATTTTCATGTTAGCCATGTTCGACCCTCTCATTGGCTTTATCCCTTCGGCATCATTGTGGATTTTTCTTCTATCATTTTGTTCCGATTGCAGTGCAGATGTTTCTTCTTGCATCACCTGCTTTTGCTTCCTTCCTGGAGGTGGAGGAGGTACCAAATTCTCCACATCTTTTTTCTTCCGCCTATCATTACCCTTCTCCGGGGAAGTCACAACTGACGCCACACTTTTCTTCCTGGAACTGGCCTCTTTCTCCATAGTACCATCCACTACATCTTCATTTTCTGGAAGTTCTTCCATCCCCATCAATTTAGCAACTACGTTAGAGATCCTTTTCTTTTCTGTCTTGGGTTTTGATGCACTTGATTGATTCCTCGTTTCAGTAACTGTCGGATTCCTCACACTGGGCACACGGCTGGATGATCGCTTGTGAGAAGGAATAGTCGAGTGGCCAACATCAGAAACCTTTTCAGGGTCCTCAGAAGCGTAAGGCAGGGCCATTAGCATCCTCTGTTTGAGATCACTTCTCGTAATTCCTTGGTGTAGGTAGAAGGAGTCTTTGAAGGTCTTCTGTCAAATGAAAATCTTGGAAGAGCAATCTGCTTCATCTGAATTGCACCTTTCATGGCTTTCTCGTCTTCATCATCATCTTCTTCTTCACCCTCCTCATCAAGTAACTTGATCCGGCCTTTCTCTGCGGAGTGACTGTGTAATCCGAGCCTTCTTGTAGGTTTACAAGCATCCTTAGTGATTCTTGCAAATCCATGGCTCCTTTCAGCAGCTCTTTCCCTATCTCAACTGAATAAGTATCAATGTTGTGGCCATTAGAGCAAGCTCTCAAGATCTGATTCAATCGTTGTGCCCCTTTGGAAATCTCTCGGATATGGTGATTAGATAGCGCTGGAAGATGGCTGGAAGAAGAGAAGTGGATGTCTATGTTACTTGCTTTCTGCATGTTTCCCAGTCCACTGATCTTCTGCTAATTTGATGCAGGAAATTCAGCATTGACCTGCTCCCAGGTGCATCCATTCTCCCGAGTTTTGCTCCGTTCTCAATAGCAAAAGTTAGCGCCATGGTGAGATCTCCAACTTGTTGATGATGGTTTTGTTGTTGACCTCTCCTAACTGGAACAAGCTGCTTTGAATTGTTCTCCATTGAAATTGATCTGTTGCTTGAACTATGTCTATTGTGCCCAGCTGCAGTCCTAATGCCTGCCTGTGGAAATGGATTAAGAACAGCTCAAGTTTCAAGTGACTGAAGGTCGGTTTATTCTATATCTCAAAACACTTAAACAGCTTATAACTTACTGTCTGTTGAGTTCTCATGTCCCTGGAACTTCTAGATGTTGGTTTGGTGTATGCATATGAATCTGTTACAATAAACATGTGGCGGAATACTCATTAACAGAAACATAAAGGAACTGAATTTCCATTTTCTAATCGAAGGAACCAATTGTTGCTTACCTGAAGCAACTGGTCTTGAACCTCTGGAGTTCTGATGATGATGAGAGGCAGCCATCCGCTCCTTCCGGACTCGGAGATCATCCAACAGCTTCTGAGCAAAATCCGATCTCTTCGCCATGTTTTCGCTTCTCGACTGGAGAATGAGAGTTCCCCACAAGAATCTCAGACAGAAGGTATGCACATTTGGTGGCTTTTTCTGGGAATGTTTGTGTTACAGGGTAAGGTGTTATTTTTGGGTTCGCTGGTTTTTCTTGGTTACGGTTGGGATGGTTCTTTCGGAGTTGGGTGAGATGGGAGGTTGCATTCAAAACTTAACACAATGCAAATGTTGAATGCAAAACACTGGATGTCCCGTTCTCTCTCTCACTTTAGAGGAGTGAGAGAGTTTCGTGACTTTGATTGCAAACCAAGCAAACAGTGGACAGACATACCTGAGAGAAAATCTATTCCAAAGTCCTTTTCTTTGTGCCCATCTTTACATTCTTGGGTCTGGTTCCATATATCAACAGAAATTTAGATTTGGATCCTGTGTTGTGGGAAGGAGGACAAAATGCAGAATCCATATGCCTTATCTTAGGCTTAAGGTGGGTAACATGTAAAAAGACACGGAGAAGAATATGCAGATTTTTGGGTGATGTAAAACTCTTTTGAGACCTTTTTGGCACACAATGCAACTGTTTTCTTCTTGGGTGTGTTCGGTTGAGTGACTAGTTTCCCCTCCCACTAGAAGAGTTAATTATGGTTTGGTTGAGTGACTTCAAATTCTTGTTTTTCTCTGTGTCAGGTATCATGAACTGTGAGGTGAGAACTTCCTAGCTAGTCCAGACCAAAGATTGTGAAATCTTATCGAAAGTATTAAAGTTTTACCTAATCATGGTTCAATCATTTCGTATCGTTAAAACGATCTATTGTTTGGAGTTCTGTACCTGTATTTTTATCCGACCGATTATAGGATATGGATTCTAAAACATTGGTCCAAATTGCTACTATCAAAGAACAAGACAGTTGAACCGGCATTTAGTAGGGCTATCCAACTTTGTATGCATCGCTACTTGAAATGCATTTTCATATTGTGGGTTAGATATGAACTCGATCATTTTTTTATGTTCAATTTTAGCAGCTTATTAATATTAGTGACCCGTGGCCGGCTTGATTAGGCGGAGAACTATGGAGGAGAATGCCAGCAAATTTTAAAGAGGTTAGTTCCACTAACACAATCTATTTTGTCGGTGTATTGAGATCCAAGGTTCCGTTTATGGATCCGTATGACTGTCGGAGGATCTTATTTCGGCTTTGGCTGCTAGTTACTGCTAGTTTATCCTTCTCAAAAATCATCTGCCATTTTTACATTCATTCAAAGATTTTCAATATCGTCGATTGTTATATGTGTGCTAAATTTCCAAGTACATAAGGCTCTCGTATGATTGCCATACATTTGAGTATGTATCGGTTTAAACTCATCTTGTAAAACTTCTCGTGCCTAATAAGAGTTTTAGGGTTAAACTCATCATTATAAAAAATTTACCATTGGGATTGCATTTCGCTAATTTATTCTGTAGAGTGGTACAGTTTGAGAAGCTCTGGTTTGTATAATGATTCCAATCATCCCTCTATATTAAGACTTCTAAGACTCCCATCGTCCCACCTTTAAGGATCTTTCCTATCTTGATCTATATAGAAGACAGGTTCTCATATCAATTTAAAACTAAATTTGAATGATAGAAGTATGAAGTTAAGTGTGGTGTATCTAGACCGTAGTCGTGAAGTTTGTTAACACTATCTATCATGGAATGAAGCCCAATTAAAAGGCAGTAAATGAATCAAGTGGAGTTGAGTTTTGATATAAATTAACGAGTCGAGCTCCAGTTGTTTACTAAAACATTGGTTTGTGTTTGACTTGACCTCGACTCATTAATGAGCTAACAAGCTTTGCTCGAGGTTGGCTCATCAATTAGCTCTGCATATCAACTGGAGCCGAGGTATCATATATATAATTTATTTAATAATTTTTAATTGTTCATATCATGTTATTTAATAGCAATTAGTATCCCAGCAATCTATGATACATAATATATATGGAGACATATTTGATCACGTGCTGAAATTATTAACAAACCTTTGAATTATTAACAAGCGAATGATAAGCTATTACCCAATTTGTTGATGTGGCTCGCTAGCTATACTATCGAGCTAGCTCGCGAGTTGAGCTTGACAAGCTATCAAATCGAGCTGACTCACAAGTCTTGCGGGCCGAACATGACTTAGCTCAAACTTGACTTGTAGTAAACGAGTCGAGTGTCGACTGAATTTTTCTCTAACCAAACTCCGAACCGCTCGTGAGCATATTGGCTCATTTGCCACCCTACCCTCAATGATCGCTTATATTGCATGAAGATGATAAGTTTTGTATTCCCTTGGGCTCTTGACTATTTGTTATTCAAACAAGGCCTTGAGACTAGGGCTGCAAATGAGCCGAGCTACTCGCGAGCGGCTCGGCGTTTCGACTCGAGAAAAGCCCGTTCGAAACTCGACTCGTTAATAAACGAGTCGAACACGAGCTCACCTGTGTTCAGCTCGTGAAGCTCGCAAGCTAGCTCGACTCGGTGGCTTGTTGAGCTAAACTCGTGAGCTGGCTCGTTTAGAGCTCATGATATGTCTTAACATATGGCTAGAGAGCCAACTCGATTACCAACTTATGGACGAATCAATCTGTATCTTATAATTTTAATTCATATGGTTGTTAATTTATATATCTCACCATATATAAAATTTTGCACGTTGAGTAAGTGAGCTAATATATTTTATTTTCTACATTAAAAAGAAATTATGCATCATAGATTGCTTCGATACAATGAAATAACATGATTTGGAGTAGTTAAAATTTATTAACTAAACGATATATGATACCAACAAAGTATAAAGTATAAGAACTCCAACCCCAAAAGCTATATTTAGCCTCCCAAGCTCTCAAATGTGCATATTTGCCTCCCCAAAACACATTTTTGCTCCAACCCTAAAAGCTTCCAAATTTAGCTTCTCACATCTTTTTTTGATTTAATTTCCATAATCCATACTTATTTACAATATCATTCTTGTAATTCACTTTAATTTTTTATAGTTTGTTATTACTTGTGAAAACAAAATTTTCGATGTAATTTTTTTTTAATTCCGAGATATTTTTTTTTTTTTGCAAAATTAGTCATTTTTTATGGCCGTTAAAATGTGTCCGTTGCAATGTGACCGTTTTATTGTCACTATATTACTTCTTTCAAACTAAACGCAAACACACCCACACAAACTAAAACGCAAACATACCCACACAAACTAAAACGCAAACACACCCACACAAACTAAAACGCAAACAAAAATGAAAAAAAAAAAATAAAGCAGCAGCAGGGGACCCCGCGTGCAGGCGAGGGCCACCCGCGGAGGCGCGCCTAGGCCGCACGCGCGCGGGAGGAAGCCCTTCCTCCCGCGCGCGTGCGGCCCAGGCGCGCCTCCGCGGGTGGCCCTCGCCTGCACGCGGGGTCCCCTTTTCCAGCTGCTATATTTGCCCCCTTTCCCCCTTCCAGCTGCTACCTATCCACCCCAACACCCCAATCTCCAAATTTGGAAGCCAAGTTATTGATGGGTTGGAGATGAAAAAAGGCAAAATATAGCCTTTCTCCAAATTTGCAAGCAAGGGTTGGAGTTAGTCTAAGATGAGACTATCTAACAAAATAAATCATATGTATCATGATATACAAAATGAAGTACCAATAAAAGTTAAGATTTTAATAAACAAGCTAGCTCGAGCTCGACTCGACTCGGCTCGTTAATAAATGAGCTGAGCTCGAGCTCGACTCGTTTATTAACGAGCCGAGCTCAAGTTGGGTAAAACTCGACTCGACTCGGCTCATTTGCAGCCCTACTTGAGACTATTAGGGATGTTTTCTTTGACAATTCAGCCATAAAATAAAACAAACTCATAATGCGGTAGGCCGCAAGGCAGGATAATTGCTTCAACGTCAAGAAATTGTTATTGTATTTTACCATTAAATAACAACCAACCCTAGTTTTCCTTGTGGTCGTGGAGAAGTATAATACCAAAAGTAGGGCTGCAAACGAGCCGAGTCGAGTCGAGTTTTGCTTAGCTTGAGCTCGGCTCGTTTATTAATTTTTCAGCTCGAGCTCGGCTCGAGCTCGAATTTTGATAATCCAGCTCGAGCTCGAGCTCGGCTTGAAGAAAAATAAACTAGCTCGAGCTCGACTCGGTAGAGCTCGATAAATTCTCCTTAACATAGCTTGTCAAGCTGAGTACAAGCTCGACTCAAGATGAACTCGATTTAAAATCATTTTTGCTGGAAAAATGTATAAACATAAGAATTTAAAGGATAGAAAGAACACTAGAAACTATAAATAATCAAAATTTCATACACATCTGTATTAGAAGACAATGTTCATGTTTAAAAGAGTAATTCATCCTTCCCCAAGCTCAAAACAAGGCAGCTCGCGAGCTTAGCTCGACAAGCCACCGAATCAAGCTAGCTCGCGAGCTTATCAAGCTGAGCATGGTCTAGCTCAGGCTTGGCTCGTTAACTAACGAGTTGGCTCGCGAGCCGGCTTGTTAAATAACGAGTCGAGTGCCGAACGAGTTTTTTCCGATTCGAACGCCGAGTTGCTCGCGATCGGCTTGGCCATTTGCAGCCCTAACCAAAGGAATTTGGAATATGCTAGGTCTCAATAAACCACAGCCGTTCGATTCGCATAGTAAAACAGCTGTTATCTCCAAGTACCGTCCAAATCGCACATCGATCGGTCCCTCTAGTCAAACCATCGAAGCCGTTGGATAATATTTCGTT